AATTTTATTTATATCCCGCCTATCTGGTCGGTTAAGACCACTCTAGGCGGCTGATTAGATTTCTAATACATTTTACCAGAAAAGAAACAGTAAGTACAAGGAATTCATAGCTATATAGATCTATATTTTTCTTTACTGTTTTATAGTACACGTTGTACTAACAATATTATAACAACACCTGTAGTAGTCATATAGCCATCAATATAGATTGATGGGTCATAGAAGCTAGCATACTGTAATTGTATACAGCAAGGGTGTCACTAAATGCAGCTCTGATAAGAACTACACATTTGCAGATAACCTACAGTTAAGTTTACTGCAAGCTATCTGGAGACAGGAGCAAAATACACATCCTGTTTTACTGCAATTCCTTGCATTAAAGCAGGGTAGTATATACTTACAGCCACTGGCCAGCAAGTGTTGGAAGGCTTCAGCCTGCTTGACAAGTGATGAAATTAGAGCTGTTGAAGCTGCCCCCCCAGGCAAGAATAACACCAACCAGCCAGTGCTGAGGTGGCTAGGAAGCCTCTCAGCACTGGCTTGATTGCTGATGTTGTTCTTTCCTGGTGGGTAAGCAGCTCCCATTTTCCTGCATACTGAGGAGGCAAAAACGTGTCTTTCCTGCTCATCTGTAGCTAGTGCTGGGTGCTGGATGATGATGGTGGTGGCAGGTGAAGCTTGCTTTGGCAGCAGCAGTGGCAGCTGACATCTGGACTGTCAAAGATGCCACTGCTGTTGCCATCACTGTGCTACCTGGCCACTGCCACCTGGCTGTCCACCAGACAAGCAAGCCCTGTGGAGTAGGAAGGTCTCTCTCACCTCAATTGACTGTGGAAGAAGCTCTATTGTGGTGTTAAATACAGTGGTGCCTCGCTTAGCGATTGCCTCATTTAACGATGTATTCGCTTAGCAATGAGGTTTATGGAGCAATTTTGCACTCTGTTTAATGATGTTTTCTATGGGGAAAATTCGCATAGCGATGTTCGGGACCTTGCCTCGCTTAGTGATGACAGTTTTAGGTCCCCTGTTTCGCTTAGCGATGTTCTGTTTTTGCTATTTTAAATGTGTCTTAAAAGGTTCAAAAACGGTTTTAAATGTTTTGGATCGTTAGTGCACCTTCTAAAACGTGTGCAACCTTAATTTGGCTTTGTTCTGACTTTTTGTTAATTTTTGGTGAATTTTTTCCCCCATTGAGATGCATTGAACCCGATTTTGACAGCTGTCAAACCTGCAGTTCAATGCTTTCCAATGGGGGGAGTCTTCGTTAATTTTTGGTAAATTTCTCCCCCATTGGAATGCATTGAAGTGCCCGTTTGACAGCTGTCAAAATCAGGTTCAATGCATTCCAATGGGGGAGAAAAAAAATTAACCAAAAATTAACGAAGAGTCAGAACAAAGCCAAATTAAGTTTGCACACATTTTAGAAGGTGCATTAATGGTCCCAAGCATTTAAAACCGTTTTTGAACATTTTAAGACACACTTAGAATTGCAAAATCGGACATCGCAAAATCATTGGAATGCATTGAATAGGCTTCAATGCATTCCAATGGGGGATGCATTGTTTCGCTTAGTGATGTTTCCTATGGCCATTTTCGCTTAAGGACGGCAATCCGTTCCCATTGGAATGGATTGACCGGTTTTCAATGCATCTCTATAGGAAAATGTGTTTCGCTTAGCGATGTTTTCCCATAGCGATGTTTTTTAGGAACCAATTAACATCGTTAAGCGAAGCACCACTGTAGTGCATTTTGGGCACCATTTTAAAGCACACTAGGGCTTGCATCGTGTGAAGGTATGAAAGCCACTTTGCATTCCACCTGGTTTTTACTTGGTATGCAATTGTGGTCCTTGTTACACCTTTTAATAAGGATTTTTTTTTTAAAAGAATGCATTTTGTGGATCAGAAGACATTTGACTTTATTTGCCTCTGTCCTTTAGCCCTGTCAAGCACTTTATCTGCTTTATCTTAGGCTCTTAGAATTCTGGAGTAATCTCATACTGTGGAAATTTCAGGGAGAGGCATCCGTTTTCTGATGAAGACCTAGCAACATTTTTTCTGAGTAGGTGGCATGTTTAATCTCAGGTAGAACTAGAATGGATTGTTAGAGATCTCCCTGAATGTAACAACTCCCTTACTTGTGTCATTGTTTTTGGTAGAGAAGTGTTGCATTTGCCCAAGGAATGGCACTGATTCCTGCAGTTGTAGGGGGAAATAAAGGTGTCTAAAATGTTTCTGTTCCCCTTGCCCTTTTCGTGTTCTCTTGTGAATACTGCAATATATAGTTGTAATAGTTTTTGTATCACATCTGCATGCTCCCCAAAAGTAATAACTGAGGTTTTAGTCATCTGCTGCTGAAACCTTTCTGTCTCAGTCACTCTGCAAACCAGGAATAAAAAGCTGAATTTGAAATATCAATGATGCTCTGTGGAACAGTGAAGGAAACCTAAGAGTTGGCTTCTGTCTTGTGCCTGAGTGCTATCCAAAGCAGCATACAAAATCATTTGTCAACTATTTTTTTAAGTGTCTTGTTTATTCATCCGGACTGTGGACTGTCATTGTTCAGGAAGCAAACTTCAACTAATTACATGCCAGCCAACAGCTGATTCTTCCCTAGAAGGAAGCATTGCCTAATAAAGATCATAGATGCCAAACACTAAAGACACAAAGTACTAAAGACACAAAGTACTAAAGATGAGCAGCTCAATCGTCAACTGTCTGATGTTCTCAATACAGCCAGTGATGTACAAATTTGCTGTGGAGCTCTGTTCTTTCCACCTGCAACTCAATATTTGTCCTTTAGCAGTTATATGGTGAGGTGTTGATATGTAGCATGACTCTTCATGCCCACTGGCTTTCCATTCACTGTGATCAATCAGCTCTCCTATAGCATTTCTTTGTGAATCAAAGGTACTGAGACAAGTGGTTTAATTTTCCAGAGAGGGCAAATAGATTGAGATGTGAAGAAGTGACATTACTGAATCTTTAAATGCATTCCAAGATACATCTCCCTTTTACTATTTTATACTCTAGATGCTTGTTGTAGGATGAAAAAATAAGATTGTTTTAGTATCTTCAAAATGATGTTTGGCTAGTAAATATTTGGTTTTATGAGTGTCGTGATTAAACTGAGATAATACTGTGAAAGAATATATTCCAGTAACTATTATTCAACCAGCCACTATATCAGACATTTTTAAAAGCTTTTGAAGAATTTTAATGTTTTTTCTTCATTACCAAATATGAGCAAACTGAATGTGGTGTTTATTTAAAGAATTCACAACTGTGCATTAGAATAAGCTAATGAATTCAGCATTAGAGAAAAATGTTAAAAAATTTATGAGCTTACATAGTTTTTTTTTTAAAATTCAGGGACTTCTGGCTAAGGTCTTATATAGAATCATGTTCATCTGTGTTTTTGAGGATTGGTTCAAGCAACTAAAATTCAGTGATAGAGTTTTGGCTGTGGTTGTGGGCTGCCCATAGCTGTTTGGGGTCTCACTCATGTTCTGTCACATCAGACTATATTAGTTTTTTTTAGAAGTCTTTAGGCCAGTGGTTCCCAACCTGGGGTCTCCAGATGTTTTTCAACTATAATGCCCAGAAATTCTGGTAAGCACAGTTAATGGTGAAGATTTCTGGGACCAAGAAACATCTGGGGACCCAAGATTGTTAACCACTGCTTTAGGCCCTTTACATATCAATATCTTGTGGGCCAAGACTCAAATCACAGTGGCCTGGGGCATACAGGTGAGTCTTGTTCCCTATATCCCCATTCCATTCTTAAGTCAAAGATACTTTCATGTGAAGATCTGCAGGGGAGCATTTAGGTGTGTTTTGATGAACACATATATGTAACTCTCTTATTGAAAATCTTGTCTTATGCATGCTTTCAAGAGTCATGAACACGTATATGTAGCTGTCTTATTGGAAATCTTATCTTATGCATGCTTTCAAGAGTAATACCAGTATAGGACTAGAATCATCTTCTTATGCAGGTGACACCAGGCTGTAAGATCACCTGTGCTGTCCTGAATTTCTATGCAAGCTGTGACTTCCAGTTTGAATCAGAGCCTTTTTACTTTAAGTAAAAAGGCTCTGATTCAAACTGGAAGTCACAGCTTGCATGGAAATTCTAGGGGATTATTCCAGGACACCAACACACACTGATGATGACATTGAATTTCAGACCCCAAGTAAGATGTGCAGTTGCTAACAACTTTTAAATCTTTCCATTTGTTACTTGGGGTACTCATGCCCAACCATTAATAAGATACTGATTTTCACAGTTCAAATATATTTTCTCAATAACTTCCATATGCGATGTATATAATAGTCACAGTCTGTAGTCCATCAGCATGATTAAGTGAATTGTTCCGTGCTTGTTTTAAATATACTTTACTCTTCTGCTGTTTTATAATACAAAATAATATTTAGAGCTGAAAATCCATCAATGGAACTGTTTTAGACCCAATTCCATTGATGCATTTGAGCAGCATGTATATTGCTTGTACTGTACTGTATTTGGAATATTTAGATCCCAATAGTTCTGTAATTGTTCCTTTGAACTTTCTCTTCTAAAATAGAATACATTTTTCTTCCAGATTGTAAATGTCATGCTATCTTTGGTGTTTGGTATATCATGTAGGAAAAACAGATGAAGTTTAAATTATTTTGTCTCTTTGACAAGTGAAGGCATTTACAAATGAAGAATGCAGTGGGCAAGGCTTGCCAATATTATATTTTGAAACTTGTTGCTCAAAAAAAACCTCTCTCTCATCCAGCCTCTTTTTCAAAACAGTTAACTGGATGCTATTGGAAATGAAGGTAATCCGAATTCATCCTGTTTCTGATCCACACACAACATATTTTCTGCAAATATCTTGGCAGAAAGATCTGGGTACTGGCTTTGAAGTTGTACTCAGTGATGGCAAAGCAGCTTGGAACGGAAGAGGTAAATATATATATAATATATTTTATTACTGTTCATTTATTGCAAGGGGTTTTACCTTCATGAAGTGGGACTCTTCTCAGATTATTCCTTTTAGGGTTCAAAATGCACAGCAAAAGATACATACAGAATTAAAAACATAATAAGTTATACATTAAAGCAATTAAACTATAAACCTGATTAAAATACATTCAATGATAAAAGACATGTAAAATGTTAAAAACGATCTTAATTGAGAAATGGCATTCTGGGACTCAGTCATTGTTAAAAGCCTGCCTGAAAAGGTGGGGCTTCAGCTGTTGTTGAAATGATAAAAGGGGAGGCAACCTGAAGGAGAGGATTCCATAAACTGGGAGCAGCCACAGAGAAGGCCCTCTTTGTATCCCCGTTGACTGTGGCTGCTCTGACAATGAGACTGAGAGGAAGGCCTTTTCTGACAGTCTGAAGCTGAGAATGCTTTTATTGGGAGAGTTCGATCTACTGGGACTGCAAACTATTGAATTGTAGGAAATAGTGTTTCATCACTGTGTAACCCAAGCCTGGGGAGACAAACTTCTTAAACTGAGCAGTGACTCGATTTCCTTCTATGACATGATACGTTAATGAAAGGCTTTAATGTTAGAATGTTGTTGCTACCCTATGAATGAAAGACCTTCAAAAGGTCATATTATTGACAGCCCTGCTCAGGGCCTTGCAGACTGTGGCTTCCTTTACTGAGTCACTCTATCTTATGTTTAGTTGTCCTCTTTCCTTTCTGCTTTCAATTTTCTTCAACATGATTGACTTTTCCAGTGGGTCTTGTTTTCTCATGGTGTGCCCAAAGTACAATAGCCTTAATTTAGTCATTTTTTTCCCTTCTAGAGAGAATTTAAGCTCAATTTGATCTAAGATCCACCTATTTGTCTTTCTTGCAGGCCATGGTATCTGCAAAGCTGTCCTCCAACACCACATTTTGAATGAGTTGACTTTTTTCCTATCTGCTTTCATGAACATCCACCTTTCACATTACATAGTAATCAAAGCACTGTCCCTGTTTTTTTGTTTCATTTTCGTTTTTATTTGACATGTTCCCAAGGCAATGTATCCTATTGTGGGCTTCCTTTTCTGTCAGTGGGACCTGCTGAGCGCGCCTGGCAGCTATAGATAGTCACTAGACAGCTAAGTTTAGCCACCATTTAGAGTTCTGCGTATAGAACACTGTGTTAGAGTGAGGGTAGGAGCATGCTAGGGATTGACAAGGAGCTCTGGAAGAATGCTGAGAGATGCCAAGGGTTGATCCCTTCCTAAAGAAATAAAAGAAAGTGTTTCCACTTGTATCCCTCTCAAGTATGGATCAGAGGAGTGTCTCTGATACTGGAGATATAAAGTAATCAGTAGTGGTACCCCAGAAGATAACTCCTTGTTTTTTCTTTATTACTGGGGGTTAGTATCTTGAATTTAAATGTGATTTATGTCATACTCAACCCAGATTCCCAGGTTATTCTTGATCTTGCATCTCTATCAATTTATTTCACTTTAGATTGTCAGCTCTAATAATCTCTACTTTTCATTTCTCTTTAAATCACCCAAATATTCTAGATTTCTGCATTTTATCTGTGTTAATGTTTCCTTCAGTTTTATTTATATGTTTCAGTCCTTCTTTTGGGGGGACTTTCTGAACGCAGGAAGTTCTACTGCCTTCTTTTATAGTTACCATGAAGTATTGCTGAAAATACATAGCACCGTATAAAGCATATTCTTACAGACAGTTCTAGTTTTTGTTATACACTGCATTCTTCATTTTAACGAAGCTGTTTAGGGCCCTTTTTGTTCTGGTGGAATTTCCTTGCATGATTGCAATCCCACTGTTCATTCAACGAAGTTCCAAGGTACTATTTCAACATGTTGCATGCTTTCATGGACTGCTTGGGATCCCCCCCCCCAAACTAATTGCCATGAACTTGGTCTTTTTAACATTCATTTTAGGCCATGTTCATTACTTGTGTCATTGTCTTTGTTGAAGTAACTTCTATTGAGTAACCTTTGCAGACCATCTCAACCAGGGGTCTCCAAACGTTCACATGGAAGGCCACATAATATATTTTTATACTTTCAGGGGCTGAAGGAACGTGTGTGTGTATGTATGCATGGACACGTTCCTGTCCTCTGGAACAACCTCCCTCCGGAGATTTGCGCGGCCCCCACACTGGATACCTTTAAAAGCCAATTAAAAACATGGATGTATATTCAGGCCTTCCCTCCAGTCAATACTTGATTTTTCTTTTCTTTTGTCTTTATTTATTTCTTACTCTATTTTTGTATTGTAATTTGTTATTGGATGACTTTTGTAATATTCTTGTGTTATTTTATTGTTTTATGTTATATTGGAAGCCACCTAGAGTGGTTGTATAGACCAGATGGGCGGGATACTAATCTAATCTAATCTTATCTAATCTAATCTAATCTAATCTAATCTAATCTAATCTAATCTAATCTAATCTAATAAATAAATAAGTAAGTAAGTAAATAAATAAATAAATAAATAAATAAATAAAATAAACATTTGCCCCTAAATATATAACTGGCTGGATAGCTCAGTTAGCTAGAAATTTGGCTGCAGAGCCAGACTTTGGGAGTTTGATTCCCCACTATGCCTCCTAGGGGAAAAGCCAGCCTGGGTAGCCTTGGGAAAGCTGCACAGTTCCAGGGTGCCCCCAGAAGAAAGGAACAGTAAACCACTTTTGAGTGTTCTCTATCTGGAAAACCCAAGAAAGTGCTGCCATAAGTCGGAATTGACTTGACGGTACATGATGATATTATAATATGAAGAACAGTAATTTCCTCCTCTGAATCCTAATATTCTGCAATGTTTGGGTTTTGCCATCTATTATCCTTCAGAATTTGCTGTGTATTTTCTTTAAGTAAATAGCATGTTAAACTAATTTGACACTTTCCCTTTTGGATAATTTAATCAATGTCAATCTTAGCCAAATGTTAGGAATGATCCCTTTTCTGTAGATTTGATTGAAAAGTTTCATTCAAACACTGAATTGCCTATTTATATTTATATACAGTATAAGACAAATCATGCAAGTCTTGTTGCTTATTAATAAGCAACTGTCCAGGAATGCAACCAATGTCTTGTTAGTCTGCTGCAAAAAGTTAGTTGATTTCCTTACATGAGTGTAAATGGGCAGTAGGTTTACAACCACCGTTCTCAATTAACTTTTTCTGCAGATATTAATATCTTCAGGTACAGATATCTTTTCCCCCAACAAAATCATCCCCTTTTAAAGCTATCGAAATTGGCAGCCATCACTACATGTTTTGATGCCTAATTCCACAGTTTTACATGCATTATTTGAGGAAGTACTTCTTTTTGTCCGACCTGATTCTTAAATTACCTGCTTTAACATGTCAACAGCAATGTAATTGATCTGTAATGTGTTTGTTAAGTCATAGAAGGTAAGAGCAAGATAAATCAAAGGCAAGTTTCCTTGCAATTCTGAAAGAACTGGCAATATTTTAGAACAAGTAAACATTGAACTGTGTGATAAATGTGTTGTATAATAATTGGCTGAAATCCTCTTGCTTAAAGTTATGCTTGTAAACTGGATGATATTATCATTGGGCAGTGGGAATATTAAATTGAAATTCTCCTATTTCCCCTTTCAGGTTCTGAGGCTCCCTCAGACTTCCTTCTGTCCTGGGGAAGCCTTTAGGAGCCTCAGAAGGGGCATGGGGTAGGGGAAGCCCTTAACAGCCAGAAATTGTCTCCAAATTGCTGCTGTTGGAAAAGAACCACTAGTGGTCATCTAGCAGTGATTTTTTTAGCTTTTAAAGGCTGTTCCCCATCTGACGGCCCTCAAAGGTTCCTCAGGGCAAAAGGGAGCCCCCAGGAGCTTGAGAACCTGAAAGGGGATAGAAAGCTTTCAGTTAATTGAAATTAAATATTCTCTTCACCAAATAATCATATGCTTTATGTGGCATAACGTTTTGCAAGTCGAGTTTTGCCTTTTAGTTTTAAAAAATATGTGGCTAGAATCCTATTGGTGCTAACTGACAAGGTCAGTGCACCTTGGTTGAACAGTTTGGTGCCCAACCAGACACATGATCAGGTTTTTCCTCAACACATCAATTAGCTGAAGTAAGTTACACCAAACGTACAGGAACACAAATAGGATTCTGGCTTTTATATTTAGCAGATGCAGTTACTGATTTTTCCGTTGCGTTTGTCTTGAATTCCGTTTTAGTTTTTCCAACTTTCCCTTTTAGTGTCCAAAGAAGAAATTTCCAAGGAAGCTGCTGACATGGAAATGGATCTAGAGAAATATGTTGGAGAGTTAAGGAAAGTGTTGCTATTTGAAGGAGGACATGCAGATACATACAATTTTCATATTTCTAAAGAAGGCATGAATAAAGACTACCTTCAGTTTTCCTATGAAAAAAATTTGAAAGATGTTTCTGTAAGTATCACTATATTACTTTCAGAATATAGTTTCTTAAAGTGTTTTTCTAAAAGAGTTCAAATACAGCATACCATAAAGTTTCATGAATAAGATCTTAATTTTAACTTTGAAGAAGTCTGTAATGGAGAACTACTCAATTCTCAACATTGTTTAAGTTTAAAAGTGGAAGAAAAAGATTGTGTATGTCTGTGGGAATCTTTAAAAAATTCTATAATCAATATAAACTTTTGTTTGACTGTTTAATTCTAGAACAGCGCTGAGGCAGGGAGTCACCATGTTAAAGATAAACATACATTAACTCTTCATTATTGTCTGAAGCCTGAACAATGAAAACTGTATTTTTGACCTGACAAGGGCAATGAAAACAAAACAAAATTAAATTAAATTAATGAGCACAGCTTAAATGATAAAATATTTAGCCATCCGTATGGGAATTTAATCAGAATAAAGTTAATTTCATTTGTTCCTTCAAACTGTAGACTCTTTAGACGATTGTGTTTATGGCAAAACATGACAATCTGCCTGCAAGTGACTGTATTAAAAAAATACGCATGAGGCAAACTGTGACTATTACCCCAGTTAGTTTTCTATCTTTGGAATTTTAGTGAAAACAATTTCTTCATTAAGTATAATTCAAACTACATATAATGTTAATCATATGTTGTTTCTCCTCTTCACCTTTTCTTTTCCAGTCCTCCATTAAAGTAGCTACCTAGGATGTTATTTTCCAGTGTGTGAGAGAAAGAGAGAGAAAGAGTGTGTGTGTGTGAGAGAGATTTTAATTCTTTTCTGTCTGTCAATTTCACACCTTTAAATTGTTCTTCCTTACACTGTCCTGTGGAAGAACCTATGGATACTTGTGTGGGAAAACATAGGCACTAGTACGGAGCACCCCCTTCATGGATTGAAACATAGGCACTTTCTTTGACCTGCTGTGTAAATATGTGTTAATTTGTGATGCATTTTGCTTAAAAACACAAATAGAAATACTATTAATCAGCAATACGATTAAGAAATGGGAAATGCCATACATTAGTACGGAGCACTGTACTAGTGTATGGCATTTCCCATTTCTTAATCATATTTCTGCTTAATAGTATTTCTATTTGTGTTTTTAAGCAAAATGCATCACAAATTAACACATATTTACACAGCAGGTCAAAGAAAGTACACACTAGTACGGAGCACCCCCTTCATGGATTGCTGCCTTGTCATGGCGAAGGGGCTTGAGTAACTCAGAAAAGCTATGGGCTATGCCATGCAGGGACACCTAAGACGGACAGGATATAGTGGAGAGTTCTGACTAAACGCAACCCAC